TTCAAAAATTCTAATCTCCTCACATTCTACAAAGAACTGCCAGATACATCATTTCCAAAACTGAAAGACAATGCTTGATTTTGTGCAAGCATGTTTGGCAGTACCTATGTATGCGAACAAGCATACATAGGTACTGCCAAACAAGCTTGCAAGTTTTCACTTATGAATTTAAACAAGTGGAAAACCGGAACAGGTTAACCAATGAGAATTTGGAAAATCTGCTGGTTGTTTCAACATCTGCCATTACACCAGACATAAAGAAGATTGCCGCCAGAATCCAAATCTCAGCCATCGCATTAATCGCTTGGAGGTCTGGCCCCCAGTCAGTAAACTTAATCCTAATTTGGCCCTTCTTCACAAAAGGTTGTGCATCCCTGATTTATTGAAAAAAGCAAACTATTTGAAAAATTACACCTTCTTGATAACTGAAAAGCAGACAAATTGCTATATTGATTTTTATTGGTCACTTACATCACAAATCACATTATATATGCAAAGATAACAAATACATTTCCCACCCCTTGAAGTGACTAGCAAATCACTTTCGTAACTCAACATTCGAACTCTCAGCATCTAAATCAGGGATCACCAAGCTTTTTTTCACAGCAGGCCAGATAACTGAAAGAATGATGAGTGCAGGCCGCATAACCATTTTGTTCAATACAGTACACTGAATACACAAAAAATAAAGACAACCAACATATTTATTTACNGGAATCGTTTTTCGCTTAGAAACAGACGAGGGAGCCAATCAGAAAACAAATTGGAGAACGGAGATTGATATAATCCCCGATCTTCAAGGACAGGGGACTTCTTCCGTAAACTGTGTTACTGAGTACTTACACTCCAAAAAGTCCGGAGCGAAAACTCTCTGTGTGTGTCGACGCACAGAAACGCAGAGTCCGCACAAGTGTCCATCGAAAGAGCCGTGCCGCCGACACCTCCCTACAAGTCTCCTTACCCGCCTCAGCCCCGGGGCCCATCTCCGAGTGACGAGAGACGAACATCCACGACGTCCAAACAGTCGACTGTATCTAGATAATTCTAGTTCCTAGGTGTAAGTTTAATTTTATGTATAAAATAAACGGGTTTTTGTTAGATTCTTGTCATCTGTGTCTCCTCCACCACACCCACACGCGTTCGACCCTAGATCATTCTGACGCGGGATTAACGATTCCCCCCGGNGTCCGGAGCGAAAACTCTCTGTGTGTGTCGACGCACAGAAACGCAGAGTCCGCACAAGTGTCCATCGAAAGAGCCGTGCCGCCGACACCTCCCGACAAGTCTCCTTACCTGCCGCAGCCCCGGGGCCCATCTCCGAGTGACGAGAGACAAACATCCACGACGTCCAAACAGTCGACTGTATCTAGATAATTCTAGTTCCTAGGTGTAAGTTTAATTTTATGTATAAAATAAACGGGTTTTTGTTAGATTCTTGTCATCTGTGTCTCCTCCACCACACCCACACGCGTTCGACCCTAGATCATTCTGACGCGGGAAGAACGATTCCCCCCGGAAGTCGGCGAACTTACACTGGTGTCAGAAGTCGGATATTTTAGTCCCACTAAAATTTAAGTAAGTTCCGCTGACAAAAGAATTTTTCTTTAAAGTGGGTTGAAGGATGGAGGCAGATGCAAGTGTCCCCGCGCGACCTCAAGACGGTGGCAATAGCGGTTCTCTTTCCTCCTTTTCCGCGTTTGGAGGAATGATCCCGACCTTCTCGGGTGAAACAGGGCGTGTCACGGATTTTTTTGACACGCTGGAAGAAATTGCGAGTCTAGCGGGATGGACGCCTAGACAATGCCTGAGCATAGCCAAATGCAAGCTCGCAGGCATAGCCCGAGACTTCGCGTGGCATGACCTCAGCATGAAATGCGTAACGGACTTTCAGACCTTCCAAAAGTTAATGGTTCAACGATTTGACCGAGAACCATATTCGATACGCGTACAGAAGTTTCACGCGTGCATGCAGAAAAGAGACGAAAAAGCACAAGAATTCGCAGTCCGATTGCAAAACCTGGCCAGCGCTACAATGATAGAGCAAACAGGCGCGAGTGAACAGGAGAACGTAATTATCAAACGCTGTCAACAGCGAGAATTGGATGAAAAGTTGCGAGTCCAATTTCTGCACGGACTGAACGATAAGCTGAAGCGACAGGTGATGACCCATGATCCGCCGACCTTTGCGGAAGCGCTGAAAGTAGCAATCCGCGAGGAAACAATAGATCAGCTAGTAGGAAAAACACGAAATGTAGTCGCCAGCGTCGACGATGCAGTAGAGGGTCGCAGTTCACAGTCTGAAGAAGTCAATTCGCGGAGAGAATCGGCTCTCGATGCAAAAATCGCGCAATTGTCGAAACAATTAGCAACCTTAGGAAAAAGACTCGATCAACCGCCAGCGCCTAAGTCAATAAATAATT